CAATGTGGGAAAGCCTTTGGGAGACAGAGTCATTGTAAAACACATGAAAAGACTCACAGTGGGGAGAAACCCTATGTATGTAAGCAATGTGGGAATGCTTTCAGCACACAAAATTCTTGTCAAAGACATGCAAGGACTCACACTGGGGAGAAGCCCTACGTATGTAAAAAATGTGGGAAAGCTTTTACCAGACACAGTAGTTGTCAAAAACATGAAAGTACTCACTCTGGGGAGAAATCCTTTGTATGAAAGCATTGTGGGACATCTTTCAACACGGATTGTCAGCTGTATGAAAGAAATCACACAGTATAAAAACTATATGTAAGCAATATGGAAAAGCCTTCAGTTACTGTAGAAATCATCAGAGACATTAAAAAAATGAAGAGGAAATTAACTGAATATATAGTTATGAGTTATGAAAGGATAGTGCAGAGAAGTCCTTTCTTTGTAATATAAAGATTTCAATACACATGTATTATCACACACCTGAAAGAACTCATAGAACAGAAAATCTGAACATATGTGAACAGTGTGGGAAGTGTTTTATTTTTCTCAGAGCATTCAACTTCATAAAAATTCACATTAGTGAGAATCCATATATATGCAGTAAGTATGGCAAACCTTTCTATTTTTCCACTTACTCTGAAAAACATGAAAGCACTCCCACTGAGGAGATAGCCTATGTAAATAATGCATTAAAGCTTTTTATGATTCTCATAATGTGAGAAAACATGCACAAACTCAAAATGAGATTTAGTATAAATACCAAATGTGAGAAAGCCAAGAATGAGTGACAGAGACAGAGAGGTGTGTTACATAAATCCATAAATCCATATAAATCTGGATTAATATGCTGGTGAGGTTGGAAAGTACATGTTAAATTCAGAACAACAAAGCACCTTGCATCCAAATCTTCACTACATGGCCTTTAAGCAATATTTTACATTAAAACCATCACCTTTATGGTATATGTAAAGGGAAGTTTGTTCATACAATAAAATTCTATTGCATCTTAAAATCATTTGTGACAATATAGACTAATCAAGCGGTCATTATGTGGAATATGCCATGCATAGGCAAATTAAAGCTTGATCATATTTGCTCTTAGCATCTAAAATTCACAACTTTAAAGAAGCAGTGTTTAGCAGTAGTTGCCTCATCTATGGGTGGGGAAGTTGAGAGATGTTAATGAGAAAGCACAATGTTTCTGTTGTAGAATACTGAATGGCGTAGATCCCACAGTGACTAAAGTGATTAATCCAGTGCCACATAGCATTACAATTTGCTAGAAATTGTTGTTAGTGTTTTCTCCATATAGTGAAAAGATGATTGCATTATGTGATGCAAATTCAACCAAGGCAGTATGTTATAATTTCACAATATAAACAGTAAAAAATTGCACTGTACACTTTCAATATGTAATTTTATTATTTTTTTGTTTAATGAACACAAGTTCAGCAAATTAACAGGACTGTGGTTTCATTATGTGTGTACAAAGTGTCTCCTTTAATTTTTACTAATGTAATTTAATTCAGACTGTATTTGTTTTTGAAAGTATTCAATATTAGTTCATCCAAAGGTTGTGGGGTATGTTAAACTAAAAGTATTCAGTATTTCAGTGAAATTTATACTTGGTTCATTGGAAGTGTAGATTTTGTTGCTGTTGTTGTTGTTGTTGTTGTTGTTGTTGTTGTTGTTTGGTACCAGGGATCTAACTTGGGTCCTTGCGCTTGGGAGGCAGCGGCGGAACCACTGAGCTAAATCCCTGGCCCAGAAGTGTAGGTTTTTGAGGATGAATTTGGAAACAAATGGCATTATCAAGTTCATTTCATCAGATTTTGACAAAAAGTTATGATAAAGTGTTCAGAAAATGTTGTACATTTTAAAAGCACTAAGCATTGTGTATAGATACCATATTTCCTTCATTTGTTATGGATATATATGAGGACACAGTATCAGGAGGCCAAGGATGGAAAAAGGGATGTAAAAAGATATGATGTCATATACCAATTAACCACAATAAATAAAATGTCACAAATGGAACTAAATAATGATAATAATATTAATAATTGATGGTGGTGATGAAATGGGGAAAGGAGATCTGGCGCCAGAGGGAGGGTGGTGAGTGAAGAGGGGAAGATAAGTCCTAAGACTCAAAATGTTAACCTGCCCCCAAAGTGAACCCTAACTTGAAAGGGGGCTGCAAACTGAACTGTTATCCTAATCATAATCCTAACTGTAACGCTACCAGTAATGAAACCTAAACTTAAATCTAACCCTAATCCTAATACACCAAAGTGAACAAATACTCTCACCCAAAACAGAATACTTACCATTACACTAACCATAACACAAACCCTAACCCTAACATTAATCCTAACTTGAAACCTACCCTGAATGCAAAACCAAAACCTAACCTGTAACCTAACACTGTAACCCAAATAGAAACCCTAACCCTACACCTAACAACACTAATTCACCCAAACATTTATCCTAAGACAAAATGGAATTCTCATATTAAACCTAACCCTAAGCCTAAACCAAACATTAACTCTAAGACTAACCCTTACCCTAAAGTAAACCTTAAAACAATACCCGAACTCTAAAAATCAAGAACCTGAAACCTAAACCTATCCCCAAATCTAAACTGAACCATTGCCTAACTAACCCAAACCCAAAACAGAATCCCAAACATGACCCTAAAGCTACCACAAGCTAGCTCTAAACCTAAGCTGAACACTAACCCTATGATGTGTACCCAAATCTAAACTATTAACATGAACACTAACCCTAACTGTAACAGTAATGGAATACTAATAGTAAACCTAAATCTAAAAGTAGCCCTAACATGAAATCTTAAGTCTAAATTTAACCCTAACTCTAACCCTCACAGTAAACAAAACCAAAACATAACTCCAACTGTAAATTTAACACCAACCCTAACCATGAACCTAACCTTTACACTAAACATCACACCAAAACTATGCTTAACCTGAAAAAATACCCTAAACCAAACTCTAATCTTAAACCTAAACCCAACCTTAATCCTAACATGAAATATAACACAGAACCTAATGAATCCAACATCTACACCTGAACTGAAATTAACACTACACCTAACCTTAATCGTCACCCAAAACCTAAACCTGTCTAAATTTAACCCTAACCCCTAACCCTAAACCTAACCCTTTTGTAAACCCTGACCCTAACAATAAACTCTAACCCCAACACTAAACCCTGACCCTAAACCATAAAACTAACCCTAAGCCTAACCTTAATCCATAACCTAACCAGTACTCTAACACATACGTAACCTGTGCCATACTGATAGAGCAATACTATACAATAAGACAGGCCCTTGCCTTGCCTCCATGTTTGTTTGTTTGTTTCCTTCTCAGAGAATGTTTTGTTCCAGAAATGTAATAGTTTGTGCTGCTGGGCAGTGCTCCTGCCCAATGTATCAAAATGTTTTGTAACTGTTTGAACTTTGTGACCTCTCAGGGATGTCCTGTTGAACTCTGCTCCCTTACAAGAATATGCTGTTAAGCTCCGCCTCCTTACAAGAATGTTCTGTTAGCTCTGCCCCTTTCAGGAATGTCCTATAGCTCCACTGCTCTGCCTCAGTGAGCATGCTCACCTACCCTGTAGATCCCTATGTAAGGAGGCTCTCATTTCTGGTAGAGGTCTCAGACTTCAGACTAAGAAGTCCTCCGACCCTGATAGCATAATAAAGGTTTTTGTCCACCTCTTCAAGTGACCATTGGATTCTTGAGACCTCTTATTGTGGTAGCTGTGACACTAAGCTGAAAAACTTGGCTGTGCCTCAGAGTTGTGGTACTCAGCTGTAACACAGAGCTGTAACACTTGGCTAAAGCACCAAGATGTTCCCCTTTGCCACAACAATACTATACCCTAAACCATATGCTAAGCAGTACCCTAACTCACAGTACCGTATCATAATCTTAAACACTAACCCTAACACGTTTATGAGACGTGTAACCTAACACTGTATAACACATTTTACATGTGTCATAAACCATACCTAAACAGTACCTTACCCTGTACCCTAAACTTAACCCATAATCAAACCCATACCCTAATCAATACCCAAAGCCTAACTAATGCTAACTCTAACCCCTAACCTAATCCTAACACTAACTTTAACCTTAACTCTAACCTCTAACCCTTAACACTAACCATAACCATAATCCTAACATAAACCTAAGCCTAATAACCCTAACTGTAAAACTAACCCTAACCCTAAACAGAAACC